ATATATAACTAGCACTCAGACCTTCATCTGTTTATGACTAGCAGCAGTGAGGGCCATAGCACTCACACGGTATATCAGGAGTGTGTGCTTCTGGAAAAACACATCAATCAAATCATTCAATGCATTCCTAAAAATCCCCACGACGCAATAGAAGGTGGTAAATATCCTTCTGCAACATTCTGTAGCAAATAGAATTTTGTTGCTCCACTTGAAATAATTCAAAAGCAAAGTCAAATAAGCCTCTGCTCTGTCACAAAGTGTTTTAATTAAAAGCATATCCTCCAGGGATATGGTTATAAAAAGTAGTAGTAAAAGATTTCAGGCAGTTACATAATCTGCGTGACATAGTCTGATGCAATGAAGTTCATTGCTGTAGAAATCCTAGCTGCTCTGCTCTGTTCTAAACAACGGTTTGTAACTGAAGTCACCTGCCGTCATAAATGACTAACATTTCTACCTCCTGCATTTACATTCAACCTGCAAGAATTGTTAGCTTTTTACATATAACTATTCATAAAGGGAAAACTTGGATTACCTACAGGAAATCACTGTTTTGTTTCTCAAAAAAAAAAAAAAAGACAGTTGTTTAATAGCTGTAAAAGATTTTGTACATCTTTGACATGTAGGTTAAAATATCCATGCAGGTGTGCGCACAGATGAATACAAAAACCTTTTAATCAGGCCAGCAAGACCTACTGGTGAAAACTACATCAAAGGGAGAGGATAAGGGTGCTGTGACAAATTAGGTTATCTTTTTTTCCACTCATCTTGGACTGTCCCCTTAAAATATTTGTTGGGGCAAAAAAAAAAATATCGGATACAGCATATCTCCTCCTGTTTTGTCCCTCTACAAATGTTGTGAGTAGAAAAAAAAAATGATCTGGCAGAAATCCTAACTTCTTATAATCATGCAGGGCTGACAACACTGCATGGCATTTCAGAATAGCAGTGTTGTCACCTTAATGACAGATAGGGGCTCATTGGATTTCTGGCACCTCATCAAGAAATTTTTATTAGTGTTTTCAAGTCAGCAAACATTGAAAAATGTGCTTGTATTGCAGAACGTTGCTGAATATTTTTCTATTTTTTTTTTTTTGCCCACACAAACACTTTAACTGCTGAAGGAGACCAAATACTGCTATCCACTGGTTGCCATCGCAGAACCACATAGTAGTCACCGTTGACAGCTTTTTCCACAAGAAGTATGCATGCAGTATACAGTTTGAGATAGCTGAATGTGTCCATCTCAAACACTATCAACTATGTTAAATCTATGTACTATATATTGACGGATATCAGCACAGAGAACCACTGGAGTGCTAAGCACAAAACCCCATAGTAACCAACCAGATTTTCAGTGATCTGACATAACTAAAAAGAAGATAGTTCAGGTTGCTATGGGTTAGTGCATGTTGCTGAACTGAATTACATCTGTATGGGGAATTTAAAAAAAAAAAAAAAAAAAAAAGGTGTACTAAACACACTTTAGAACTCGCCAGGATGCAACCCTGAAAGCGAGGGTGCTTGGATCTATCAATGCTGGTCCATAGGTTGGTGTGTCTATACTGGACCCTCCTTCCTCCCATGTCATTGAACCTGACAGGCGTATGACCGAGGAATTTTGTACTAGGGTGGGCAGAGCCTGATGGTGAGAGACTCGTTCCCCATCAAGTCTTGCTTTGCTTTTGGCTGATACAGCATGTTAGACAGTGGACAGATCCAAAGCCGCCATGAAGGTAAATAGCGGCTTTCTGATCCACCCTCTGCTCTGTGCCATCAACCACAGTCAAGGAAGACTAGTCCTCCAGTAATGGTCTGCCCACCCAAAAGACCCAGCGGCTGTGAATGTGAGTTTTGTGGTGAGTGAAGCCTGATAGGGAACTCCGAGGGGGTTATTTACTAAAACTGCATGGTGCAAAATCTGGAGCAGCTCTGCACAGAAACCAATCAGCTTCCAGATTTTATTGTCAAAGCTTAAATTGGGAACTGTCTTGCTACCATGCACAGCTGCACCAGATTTTGTGCGTACCAGTTATAGTAAATCTCCCCCTGAGAGACTATTTAATCATCAGGTCCCTCTGTATGTCAAATTTGAGTTGGTCTCCATTACCTTTAGTTTGCTTATCTGCAAGCCGGTGGCAATTTTTTTTTTTTTTAGAATCTGTTGTTGCCATAGTAACAGATTCTTAAAGTGGTAGTACATGAATCTGGTGCATACAGTACCTTGAAAAAGTATTCCTACCCCTTGACATTTTCCACATTTTGTCATCTTATAACCAAAAAATGTAAATGTATTTTATGTGATAGTCCAACACAAAGTGGCACATAATTGTGAAGAGGAAGGAAAATTATGGTTTTCAAATTTGTTTTGATAAATATCTAAAAAGTGTGGCGTGTATTTGTATTCAGCCCCTCTGAGTAAATACTTTGCAGAACCACCTTTCATTGCAATTACAGCTGCAAGTCTTTTTGGGTATGTCTCTACCAGCTTTGCACATCTGGAGAGTGAAATTTTTGCCCATTCTTCTTTGCAAAATAGCTCAAGCTCTGTCAGATTGGATGGAGAGCGTCTGTAAACAGCAATTTTCAAGTCTTGCCAGAGTCTCATTTGGATTTAGGTCTGGACTTTGACTGGGCCATTATTAACATGAGAATATGCTTTGATCTAAACCATTCCATTGTATCTCTGGCTGTATGTTTAGGGTCGTTGTCCTGCTGGAAGGTGAACCTCAAGTCTTTTGCAGACTTAGGTTTTCTTCTAAGATTGCCCTTAATTTGACTCCATCCATCTTCCCATCAACTCTGACCAGCTTCCCTGTCCCTGCTGAAGAATAGCATCCCCACATGATACTGCCATCATGTTTCACAGTGGGGATTGTGTGTTCAGGGTGATGAGCAATGTTAGTTTTCCGCCATACATAGCGTTTTGCGTTTAGGCCAAAAAGTTCAATTTTGGTCTCATCTGACAAGAGCTGCTTCTTCCACGTTTGCTGTGTCAACCACATGGCTTCTCACAAACTGCAAAAGGGTCTCCTTATGGCTTTCTTCTTGCCCCTCTTCTATAAAGGCCAGATTTGTGGAGAGCACAACTAATAGTTCTCCTGTGGACAGATTCTCCCACCTGAGCTGTGGGTCTCTGCAGCTCCTCCATATTTACCATAGGCCTCTTGGCTGCTTCTCCGATTAATGCTTTCCTTGGACGGCCATGTCTTGGCAGGTTTGCAGTTGTGCCATACTCTTTCCATTTTCGGATGATGGATTGAACAGTGCTCCGTGAGATGTTCAAAGCTTGGGATATTATTTTTTTTTATATAACCTAACCCTGCTTTAACCTTTTCCACAATTTATCCCTGACCTGTCTGGTGTGTTCCTTGGCCTTTATGATGCTGTTTGTTCACTATTGTTCTCTAACAAACCTCTGAGGGCTTCACAGAACAGCTGTATGTATAGTGAGTTTAAACTACACTCAGGTGGACTCTATTTACTAATTAGGTGACTTCTGAAGGCAATTGTTTCCACTAGATTTTAGTTAGGGATATTAGAGTAAAGGGGGCTGAATACAAACGCACGCCACACTTTTCAGATATTTATTTGTAAAAATATTGAAAACCATTTTTCCTTCCTCTTCACAATTATGTGCCACTTTGTGTTGGTCTATCACATAAAATCACAATAAAATACATTTACATTTTTGGTTGTAACATGACAAAATGTGGAAAATGTCAATGGGTATGAATACTTTTTCAAGGCACTGTATGGTAGTACTGGTACCAAACCTTACACAAAAGCTTTCATTAATTAGACACAGGATATACCACCAGATAAGCAACGCTACTGCTTTACTGAATTACCCTGTTTTTCTTTACTTATTTTGCTGACTTATTTCTGGCTGCAACCCATACTTGGAATTGCCAGTTAGGATACATATGAATGCAGTAGGATAGGTTGGAGTGTCAAGTAATTTGTATTAAAATGATATTTTCATGTAATATGTATATAAAGTGCTATGTCGAGACTGTGCGTCTTTGCAAAATGAATGCCTCAAAAAAATAAATATATAAGTGGAGTTAAGCTTTTGTTTGTTCTCAAGTAATTTGCATCGTTCACCTCCTCTCTAGTGTTGAACAACCCACCACTATCCCAAAGATTCACTGCTCCATGCTCCACTGGTTTTTTTTCTGGGTTGAACGATGTGAGTGTCATAGGCACCCTGCACTTACAGCACAATGATTGAGTAAATGGCACTGATCATTGGGATGGCCCAGCACTGTAGAAGGCAGCCCTGCCAGTCAGAGAACTGCATTGAAGATTTTTTTTTTTTTTTTTTTTTTAAAGATAAGCATGCATGGGGGTAGAAGTGATGGAATTGTGTTTTAGTAGATATATCAATGTTCTAGATCAAAGTTTGCATAAAGCACAGTTACTGACGTATTTCAGCAGTAATTTGTTCTAAGTGGATACTACGGCATTTCATTCGTTCACTGGGGAAACATGTATTCTGGATTTTGCACTGTGAAACATCTTTTATCATTCATGGTTACCCTTGATCATGTAACACAAAAAAAAATATGCACAGATACCCAGTAAGCTGTATAGCATTTGTTCAAACCACCACTGGAAAACTGACACATGGAAACTCATGTTGCTATAGACAACATCTCAGTTTTTCATACATCAGCCTTAGAATATGCAGAGCTTAGTAATATACTGCATACACTCTATACAAACCTATGTAAAGTCCACATTTTAAAATCACTTTATATAAATCTTGAAATCCACAGCTTTTTCTTCCAAATAACAATACTGATAATCTGAATCAACAATGAAGATGGTCATCGAGGGGTTCTATAAAGAATAGCTTGCATTCAGCCAATCAATAACACCTTTTTACAGTTAAAACTGATTTTTACAAAAAGCTCCTAATAAATAGGCTTCCAAAGGAACTCCGTGCTATACAAGCCAACACGCAATGTTCTAATGATGAGAAAAAGTATGTAAAATCATCTCATGTTCCTCTTTACAACGATGGTGCCTGCGACAATATCATAGGCTGTTCTGTTATGCTGGAAGAATAGCAACGTAATAAATGCAGGGAAGAAGAAAGCAATGGAGAAATTCTTGATCACAGCTCGGACTGTTGACCTAGAAAGGAAAAGCAAAAACTAATTACACACGTTAAATAACATTAATAAGTCAGTAAAATAGCCAATATTAAAGTGACTACCAGTTTAACATATATACAAGTTGGTGACAGGTATGAAGAGCAGGCACTTTTAGGCACCTGCAGACACCTAGAGAAGGTTTGCCCCCACCCTGCCGGGCCATTCTGATCAGGCACAACTTTGACAATTCCCTGCACCCTCAAAGCTTTCCTTTACACAATGAGAACATCCCCACATTTGGGCAAGGAAAGCTTGTGCAGGTACATGCCGGCACCTCTAAGTACCTGCAGATTACACCTGTCAGCAGATGGTTTCCGGTAAAGAGATGTTTGGCTATGCCTCTTTAGAGCACAGTGAAATGAATCACTACAACCTGCTCTGTTCCTCTTGACTCTAGTCCGAAAGTGGGAGAGGTGTGGAGTAAGGTCTTCTAAAGCAAGGAGCCCTGTGCACTTGTAGACTGCCACTGCCCCAAAGGACCAGGTGCTTAGTGGCTTGGAGCTATAGGATGTGGCCATAATTATACCCTGTGGTAACATTTAGACAAACTAAAGTATACAAATGTAGTTTTTTTCCATCTAGCATAAGTTTGCTTTAAGGTCCCCTTCATATATTGCAGGAACATGCAACGTGAAGCTGAAGAGTACAAAATCAGGTTCATTTTGCATAGAAACCAATCCGGTTCTAACCTCAGCGTGTTCAATTAAGCCTTGACAATAAAACCTAGACGCTGTTTGGCTTCGATGCAGCAGTGAGCCTGATTTTGTACTCTCCAGCTTTAGTAAATAAACCCCTTAGTCTGCAGTCGACCACAGCAAAAATAAAAACAAACAAAAAGGTAATACCCTTGCATGCCGCCCCAAACTCCAGCATTTAGCCCTTGCTGTGGTTTTTGCCTAGGGGTAGAGGATGAAACGTAACACACCTTATTCCTCGCTCCAGCAGGGTCCTTCCAGCAATGTGACTGGTCCCACAAAAGCCTCCTCTCTAAGTTTCTCCCATCTGTGTTCACCTCCTCCACATACAATGCAGGGTTAGTAAGCCTGCATTGTACATGATGTTACTACAGGACATCCCACAGCACCCAAGGGAGAGGAGGAGAGTGCCAGGGCAGTGGTACGGTAAGTAATGCTCTCATCTTCCCCCGGACGTAACGAGCATGTAACCCTTGCAGTGTGGGGGGGGGGGGGGGGGATTTTGATTTAACACAGCTAATCCAAATTTTATAATATGTGTAGAAATGCAACTAACACGTAATGCACGAACAGCCAAATATTTTAAAACTGATTTGTATACATCTTGTTAAATATATAGAAAATTTGAAGAGAAAGTTATGTCCTTCTTTTTAAAATAGTCTTTAAAAGCCAACTGGTACTTACGCAGTCATATTAACATTTGTGGAAGGGATCACTAATACTCTGTTTGGAGCAACTAGCACAGAGTTATCGCATGTCACAACCCGAAGGCCAAGTAGGAACTTTCCTGGAGTTGCACCACCTGCTCCCCAGATGCAGATAATCTTGAAAATTAAAACAAACCGTTTAGTATAAACTGAAAAAGCAGACATATTTCTAGTTGGAACTGGTTACACATACATGCTTACTGAGTATTGGGGCCCAGTCTGTGTCTGGTTCAAAAGCAGAGCAACTCTGATTTGCTTGTAACACTACAAATAGGATGCAGGTTTATCTACAGGTGTCACTTTTTAACTTATTGGTGCTAGTTCATATTTACTGGTTTCAGCTGTAAAGGGAGTCTTAGAGCATGTTGTCCTGCTTGTCCCTAAATAGACGTTGGATGGGGGGGGGGGGGGAAGAGATAGTGGTCAGAAGTGAGGGATGAATGCTAACTACCTCCATGAATCTATTACTGATGTAATGGTCTCACTCTAAGGATGGATAAGGGTCCTTTCACATGGGCGTTCCGTTTTTTTTTCTCAGCAGTTCAGTCACGTTTTTTCAAAGAAAAACAAATCAGCTCACATCTGTTTTGCATCAGTTTACATTTGTTTTTTTACATCCTTTACCAATGTAAAAACAGATGGAAAAATGGACTGTATGTCTGTTTACATCTGGTTTTTGTCTGTTTACATTTGTTTTGTGGTGTTTTTTTTTTTTTTTTTACGGAAAAAATAGGGTTTCTTCCATTCAAATAAAACGGATGCAAACAGATGATCATCCACTTACATCCACTAGTCCATAGAAATACATGGGTGTCCATTTTTCATCTGTAAGCATAGTTAGTCTGGCTGAAAAAAGACAAAAGTTCATCCAGTTCAACCATTAGTTATAATCCTATACCCACAGTTGATCGAGAAGAAGGCAAAAAAAAAAAAAAAACACAGCAAAGCATAATCCAATTTGCTCCTGCAGGGGGGAAAAAAAATAAATTCCTTCCTGATCCCCCGAGAGGCAATCAGATATTTTCTGGATCAGCTTTACCTATAAATGTTAGTATCCAGTTAAATTCTGTGTATCTAAGAAAGAATCCAGGTCTTTTTTTAAAGCAATCCACTGAGCTGACCAGAACCAACTCTTGAGGGAGTCTATTCCACATTTTCACAGCTCTTACTGTGAAGAAACCTTTCCGTGTTTGAAGATTAAATTTCTTTTCCTCCAGATGTAAAGAGTTCCCCCTTGTCCTCTGTGATGACCTCAGGGTGAATAGCTCTACACCGAGTTCACTATATGAACCACTGATGTATTTATACATGTTGGTCATATCCCCCTTAATCTCCTCTTCTCAAGAGAGAATAAATTCAGTCCCTCTAATCTTTCCTCATAGCTGAGCTCCTCCATGCCTCGTATCAGTTTAGTTGCCCTTCACTGTACTTTCTCAAATGCCCCAATGTTCTTTTTGTGAATTGGTGCCCAAAATTGAACTGCATATTCCAGATGAGGTATTACTAATGATTTGTACAGGGGTAATATGATATCTCTCTCTCTGAAGTCTATACCTCTTAATACAAGAGAGGATTTCGCTCGCTTTAGAAACTGCAGCTTGGCATTGCATTCATTATTAATCTTATGATCTACCAGAACTCCCAGATCCTTCTCCACCATTGATTCCCCCAGTTGTACCCCCCTAGTATGTATGATGCATGCACATTCTTAGCCCCCAAGTGCATAACCTTACATTTATCAACATTAAACCTCATTTGCCACATAGTTGTCCAATTAAACAGTGCATTGACGTTGGCTTGTAAGTTGGAGACATCCTGTAAGGACGTTATTCCACAGCACAGCTTGGTGTCATCTGCAAAGACTGAAATTGGATTCTTAATCCCAGACCCTATATAGTTTATAAATATATTAAAAAGTAAGGGTCCCAACACTGAACCTTGGGGTACACCACTGACAACCCTAGACCATTCAGAGTATGAATCATTAACCACTACTCTCTGAATATGATCTTTTAGCCAGTTTCCTATCCCATTTACATACAAATTTTTCCAAGCCCATAGACTTTACCTTACACATTAGCCATGTGTGGGGAACTGTGTCAAACCCTTTTGCAATATCCAAGTATACCACATTCACCGCCACCCCTCTGTCCAAGGTTTTGCTCACCTCCTCATAAAAAGAAATCAGATTTGTTTGACAACTTCTGTCTTTCATGAATCCATGTTGTCTGTTGCTTAAAATATTTTTTTCCAGCAAGAACTTATCTATGTGGTCTGTTATTAAACTCTCCAGTATCTTCCCAACTATAGAAGTTAACCTAACAGGTCTATAATTACTTGGTAAAGATTTTGACCCCTTTTTAAATATTGACAGCACATTGGCCTTACGCCAATCCAGTGGTACTATGCCAATCATTAAAGAACCCCTAAAAATTAGAAACAATAGCTTTGAAATGACAGAGCTCAATTCTTTAAGGACCCGTGGGTGTATGCCATCCAGATGCTTTATTCACCTTTATACTGTCTAAATATTTCTGGATCATATCAATTGTGAGCCAACATGGATCATCTGGAGCGGTGTCAATACCATGCCCATTATGGACAACAGCTCCCCCACGCTCCTTTGTATATACAGAGCTGAAAAAGGTATTTACTAAATTTGCCTTCTCTTTGTTCCCAGGCACCCACTCTAGATTATTTTGTAAAGGGTCTACATGCTCGGTCCGGACCTTTTTATTATTAATATAATTGAAGAATTTGTTGGGGTTGGTCCTGCTATCTTTTGCAATCTGTCATATGTTTTCAATTTTTGCGGCCTTTATTTCCTTTTTGCATATTCTGTTATATTCTTTGTAATGTTTAAAGATGATAGCGTTTCTTCATTTTTATATTTTAATAAAAGCTCTTTTCTTATTATAGTTTTTTTTTAACTTTGGCTGTAAGTCCCCTAGGTTTGATTTTTAAACTTGTTAAGCATGGAAATATTTTGCAGTGTGTTCACATACAGTCTTTTTTAAGAAAGACCATTTCTGTATTGTGTTCATTGATGCCAATATTCCCTCCCAGTCTAAGTCTTGGAGAGACAGACAGATGAAAAACGGACATATGGAACGCCTGTGTTAAAGACCTTACTGTATTCCTCTTCTACCTCCCTTTGTATTTACTTCATGGCTAACACAAAACTTTGCCACTGAACAATTTTACATCAATGAGAACTAAATCAGGAAATGCCTTATCAAAGGAACTAATACTTTAGTACACACATTGAGAACAAGAACACAGAAATAATGTTTATATACCAGCTTCTCAATATTATTCATCACTCATTCTCCTTTAAGCAGTAGAAAGCAGAGACTTTGCAGGATAGGGATCGCTATAGGTTTGCCTACTTTCAAAAACGGATCCAAAGACCTACCCTGTTTTTAAGCAAATAGGAAGCTTAATACTATAACAGTTTCCCTCCTACATTATTAGAACAAAAGCTTAACATGAATTATGAATACAGGATCAAAGGAAAGTCTTCATTCACACCTCATAAAAACAGACCAAGAGCCTGTAAATAAGTGCCACCACCATCATTTTCTGTAGGTCTTCCATTGATGTATCTTCATCTACTTCTTCAATTATGTAGTGCATTGCAAATTTGGAAATATCCCTGTAAAAATAAACAAACACTGTGAACCTAAAAATGCATAAAGTAATGTTCTATTTAAGATACCCACTAGAAGGTTTTGGAAACAGTATAGTCTAACTCCAGGAGCCTGCTAAATTTGAAGATGCTCCCCGGGCTCTACTAAAATTCAGAAAAATTGTAAATAAGAATGCCTTTTCTTGTACTTCTTAATTGTCACCCCCCCCCATGGACATCATCATGTCCCTCTGAAAAACGCATACTTCTGTGTGTGAGGACTGTCTGTTTTGACACATCACATCTGTGAAGGGAAACAACACTACATTTCATATGCTGCAATGGGAAATGCAGAAAGTGCAGAGTTTTGGTGGCGAGGAGCTGATGATGCATGGGTCTGAGACTCCTGGATCCACCCACTAGACCAAGCAGCGATGTTACAGACCTGTGGCAGGGAAATTGCCAGACTGGTGGTCCAAAAGAATAGAGGGCACAGCAGTCACTGATCTTAAAAAAAAAAACAGGTGTGCACGCAAATCAGACCTGCAAAGCTGGAGAATAACAATAGATATCTCATGTTCAATATACCTTTTAATGCACTCAGCACGATATTTGTTTAAGGTAAGAAAGCACCACTATAGATGTTCAAAAACATTTCTGCCTGGAGTTCAGCTTTAAAGTGATATTGAGGGTCCATGCACAATGGCTTAAAAAACAAAACAAAAAAAAACGCCAGTGCTCTTGGCAGGTAAAAAAAAAAAAAAAGCTACTTTTGAGAGCTTTTTTTTTTTTTTTTTTGTATAAGCGTTGGTGTTTACATACATGCTCTCCTAACACTGATCCTTTTTTTTTTTTTATGGGGTGTGTACAGGGGTGCTTTATAAAAAAAAAGTTTGTTAATTTTATTTATTTTGCGTAAATCTTTTTGTTTTTTTTCACTTTTTAAAAAAGAAAAATGTATTTTACTTTATTGCAAACAAGCCCCATATATTATAGCATGGTCAGGTGAAAGATACGTTTTATGGACACAATAGGGATCTATCCTAGCCCAGTAAAAGTGATAGCGTGGCTTTAGAGCCACCCGATCACTTTTCATGGAAAGCACTTCACCAGCTCTTAAAATGGTAATAAACTTTTATACATTTACCTACAGGTAAGGTTATAATAAAGCTTACTATAGGTAATATGAAGATCTCCTAAACATGAGCCGTTTAGGAGATATTCTCTCTTTTTTAGAGCTGACGCATGTGCTCTGAAGGAAAGGCATACCCAAGCTTTTCCCTAAGAGCACTGTGCCGTGGCCCAGGACTCCCACTCACATACATAGGAGTGATGTCATGTCATCATGGCTCAGCCAGTCAGATGGCCACTGCTTGCAAACCCGAAGGAAGACCGGGTGAAGATGGCAGCCTCTGCAGCGATAACAGTGCGCCGCTGGAGGGCTTCCTTTTAAGGCAATTCCTTCATAATGTGCTAGTATGCGATGCATATTATGACATTACCTTGCAATCATCATTCTTTTTTTTGTTTTTTTTTTTTTAAGTTGCAGTTCACTATAGCTTTAAAGGGATTCTAAAGGCAAATAGTTTTCTTTCATCAAAATAAAAAGCAGGTTATACTTACCTGCTTTGTGCAACAGAGCAGTGAAATTAGTGGGTTTCATTCTGCTTTAAAGCAAAACAAATCCCCTCTATTCTTTTTTGCAAAGAAAGCTGCCATCTTAGGCCAGCCATACATGGGTCGATTTTCAAACAATTTTTTGTTCAAAATTCGGACCTAAGAATAATCGGTCAATTTTTGCTCTGTTAGTGGGGCAATTGCACCGGTTTTCATGGTTCCTCCCCATTTTGTATATCGGGGCATGCTGGAAAATTAGTGAAAAATGACCGATTTTCTAAATAATTGGTGGCACCATTGGATTACAGAACGAACATTTTCGATTGAAAAATCGTTCGGCGTTCGACCCATGTATGGTCTGCTTTAGCCTCTGTTTGATCTGCAACTGCCATGGTGCTGCACATATGATCAGTTATGACACCAGCCATTTGATGGTTTGACAGTTTTGTTGAGAGTACATGCAAAATGATACAGTTACATCCCCGGCATGCTGGGAATGTATCGATTTTCTGAAACAGTTAAATTGATGAGATTGGTTCCGCTTTAAGGTCAAGTGAAATAAATTGTCCCATGATTTGATTCAAATCTCCTTTCATTCTGAACGCACAAGACTAATAACAGACTTTGGCAAAGAATCATCATTCTTAACACAATAAACTTACTTGATTCCACTAAAATGCACTATGCTTAAAATAACAGCTGCCTTTATGAAAAAGAGAATGAAGAAGTCCACCATCTCTGCTCTGAACCTTTGTGCCAAAGTAGGAATAATGAACTCGCGACCTAAACAGGAAACAAACCAGAGTTTAATAAAGTACAGTTTTCCATTCACAGGCAGATCTAAAAATGTAGAAGGAATATTGGCAGCTCCATGTAAAACTAAAAAAAAAAAATGGCACCATGTGCACGCCGGAATTGTTTATTATAAAGGTCTTGTATAAACTATTGCAGTTATACGATACACTTCTATTTTTGGTCCTGATATCACAGGACATGAATACAAAAGACAAGTAATGAATAAAAAATAAATAAATAAAAAATTAAACAGCAGAAAGCCGTGAAGGAGAAGGTCCAGATGAGAATGAAGTGTGTTTGTAAGTAATACATGATACAGTCCATCTATCAATACCATAACAGGGTTTGTTTTTGAGTGTCCCTCAGTAACATAGTTTGATTACCTGTTGATCCTGCCACCAGATCTTTTGTAAATTTTGATTTTCTAACAGTTTTACTTTAAATCGGAATAAACTTTCCTACCTTTTTCAGGCATGGAAGCTGCCATCTTAGCCTCTTGATCCTCACCTGCCATGGTGCTGCACATGTGATCGGTTATGATACCAGACATTTGATGGTTTGACAGTTTGGTTGAGGACACAAGCCAATGTGACAGTTAGCATTCTGTGCATGCCAGGAGTCTAACTGTTTATTTAAACTGGTAAATTGATGGGTTTAGCTCCGTTTTAAGTTTCCAAAGCCCTAAATGTCACTCTACCAAAAGATTTATTGCAGGTCTGTCACAATCAATGAAATAACATCTATTTTGTATGCCTCTTGGGCTCATGATATTCACCTACAGGTGAAACTCGAAAAATTAGAATATCATGTTTGTTGTTCAGGAGCGGCTTGACGAGGAATACGACATTTGAAGCCCATGTCCAGGATTCGTCTGTGTATGGTGGCTCTTGATGCACTGACTCCAGCCTCAGTCCACTCCTTGTGAAAGTCCCCAACACTTTTGAATGGCCTTTTCCTGACAATCCTCTCCAGGCTGTGGTCATCCCTGCTGCTTGTGCACCTTTTTCTTCCACACTTTTCCCTTCCACATAACTTTCTATTAATGTGCTTTGATACAGCACTTTGGGAACATCCAACTTCTTTTGCAATTACCTTTTGAGGCTTTCCCTCCTTATGGAGGGTGTCAATGATGGTTTTCTGCACAGCTGTCAGGTCAGCAGTCTTTCCCATGATTGTGATTCCTACTGAACCAGACTGAGAGACCATTTAAAGGCTCAGGAACCCTTTGCAGGTCTTATGGCTTAATTAGCTGATTAGAGTGGGACACTTTGAGCCTAGAATATTGCACCTTTTCACAATATTCTAATTTTCTGAGATTGTGGATTTGGGGTTTTCATGAGCTGTAAGCCATAATCATCACAATTATGACAAATCACAGCTTGAACTATCTTGCTTTGCATGTAATGAGTCTATCTCATATATTAGTTTCACCTTTTAAGTTGCATTACTGAAATAAATGAACTTATGCACCATATTCTAATTTTTTTAGTTTCACCTGTACATCTGTGTAGGAGAATTAAAAAAGAAAAAGGGAAGGTCTATATTTCTCAGCAAACAACTGCAGGGAAATCTTTACCCCTGCACTGAAGTGCATTCTTATTGTGCTACTGCAGTCCACCTGACCCTACAGGTTTAGGATGAAGGCAGTGAATGGAATAGCCCTTGGCATAATACAATAAAACACAGATCTCCACCCCTGAGTTCCCATTTGAACACAAAACACACTAAAAGGCTGCAGTGCCCCTGCTTTGCTTTCAGAGCAAATACAACTCAATATGACCTGCTGCATCCACAGAACTGAACACAAAGCAAAACAGGCCAAACACTGCCTCAGATCTGTCCTCTATACTGCACCATGAAGGCAATGGGGAATTGGCTGATCTGCTCTGACACTGACCACTATTTTCTCCAAACAGACACTGGGGTTAATATGCTAAAACCAGAGAGCGCAAAATCTGGTGCAGCTGTGCATGGTAGCCAATCAGCTTCAAACTTCAGCTTGTTCAATTAAGCTTTGACAATAAAACCTGGAAGTTCATTGGCTACTATGCAGAGCTGCACCAAACTTTACACTCTCCAGTTTTAGTAAATCATCCCCATGGCATCCCATCTAGAAGACTGGAGAATATGAGCGGTGGGTGCTGCTCTATACTATGCTTCACTTCATAGAACAAACATCAAGAAGGGTCAGAACATCTACTGCTCCGAGTTCATGGAGCTGAACAGCACTCAGATCTCCATGGCATCATAGAATGAACACCAGTATGGTGAGAAGAGCAGAACCTAGGTGTCACATTCCAGGGAGGGCAGACATTTCCAGGGACAACAGAAACCCATTATCACAGAATGTCCCTGGTAGTCAGCAAGGGCAGCCAGCAACCATGGGGAGTACACCTGGTGGGGTGTAAATCTGGGTGACAGTTCCCTCCTGGAAGGACAGGTGACATGGGCTGGGGTGTCAGTAAGAAAGGAAAGGACAGTGACAAGAGCAGAAGTGACAGTTCCAAGGACTGAGTTGACAGCTGACCAGGGCTGAAGTGACAGTGCAAAGGACTGAGTTGACAGATGACCAGGGCTGAAGTGACAGTGACAAGGTCTGATGTGACAAGCACTGGAGTGATAAGGTCTAGGGTGACAAGAGCTGATGTGATACTGACAAGATGTGGGGGTGACAATTGCTGGTGTCAGTGACCAGGTGTGGGGGTGAAACGGGCTGATTTGACAAGCACTGGAGTGAAAATTTCTGGTGTCAGTGACAAGGTCTGGGGTGACATGGTCTGATGTGACAAGGGTTGGAGTGGTAGGTGGCGCAGTCTGGGGTGACAATTGCTGGTGTTGGTAACACGGTCTGATATGAGAGTGGCAAGGGTTGGAATGGTAGGTGTCGCGGTCTGATGTGAGAGTGGCAAGGGTTGGAGTGGTAGGTGACACAGTCCGGGGTGACAATGGCTGGTGTCGGTGACAGTGAGAGGTTGGAGTGGTAGGTGACGCAGTCTGGGGTGACAATGGCTGGTGTCGGTGACAGAGAGAGAGGTTGAAGTAGCGGCTGACAAGTACAGATGTGACAAATGACAAGGTGACAGAGAGGTTGGAGTGGTAGGTGACGCGGTCTGGGGTGACAATGGCTGGTGTCGGTGACGCGGTCTGGGGTGACAGTGAGAGGTTGAAGTAGCCGCTGACAACTACAGATGTGACCATGGCTGGTGTCGGTGACAAGGTGTGGGGTGACTCGGTCTGGGGGTAACAGTGAGAGGTTGAAGTAGTACAAGTGGTGACAGAGTCTGGGGTGACAGTTGTGGTGACAGATGACACGGTCTGGGGTGACAATGGCTGGTGTAGCGGTGACAAGTACAGGTGTGGGGGGGTGACAATGGCTGGTGTCGGTGAAAGTGAGAGAGGCTGAAGTAGCGGCTGACAAGTACAGATGTGACAGATGACAAGGTGGGGGTGACAATGGCTGGTGACAGTGAGAGAGGCTGAAGTAGCGGCTGACAAGTACAGATGTGACAGATGACACGGCTGTGGGGTCGGAGACAAGGTGTGGGGTCGGAGACAAGGTGTGTGGGTTTAACAGTGAGAGAGGCTGAAGTAGCAGCTGACAAGTACAGATGTGACAGATGACAAGGTGTGGGGTGACAGCTCACCTGCAGCCGGAGGAGGCGCGGCGCTGACCGCACTGGTGGCAGAGTGGGCGGTAGGTGCCCGGTTAGTGCTCGCCCTGGACGGGTCCCCCACACCTCCCGGGGCCGCGTTGATCATGAGCAGAGCGGCGGCGGTAGCGCAGTTGTTCTGCCAGCACACAGAGCCGCAATAACACTGCCAGAGCCATTCCTGCAGCCTCCGGGAGTACTCCGCCGCCGTCATCCTATCTTCCGCCCTCGGCAGCCCCCCGCTATCTGGAGCCTGCTCCCCACTACACGGCTTCCTTTCTCGGAGCTCCCCAGACTCCGCCATCACTAGAAGACACTGAGCCCATCAACGCTGCGGTCAACAGGGCCACAGCCAATCAGCGCCGACCGTGACGTCATGTCACTAGGGAAATCGGCATACTTTAACTTGTCTTTAGTCCGGTAGAAGCTGCGACCATATTTCCGGAGTCCAATACTTCTTGGTGACTGCCTGACATTCAGTGATAGAGCTGCAGACTCTCTTCCTGCCTTTTAAACACTTTCTAATTATTGTGCTGGGAGAGCAAATCTTAGTCTATGCTGGGGCAGGATATAATCTTATGTCAGTGTGTACATTGAGGGAGATTTCTCATCACTTCCTGTACAGGAGACATCGGGCCAGAAAGAGAAAGCAATATTGCAACAGAAGCCCAGCGGTTGGAAAGGGTAAAGGCCAGTTCACACCATAGAAACACTGTCCAGACGCGTTTCGGATTCATTTCTGCATGTGCCTTTTTGATGCATTTTTTTACGCGTTTCGGTGTTTTAGATGCTTTCCGGTTCATTTTTCCTCTTTTTTTTCCTTTAATTTAAATAGGGATATGTGCGTTTTTGGTGCGTTCTGGTGCATTTTACCACGTTCCAGTACAGTTTTGTGCAGGAAAAATGCAGCCTGATCTACTTTTTTTTTCTGCAACAGGAACTGCAAGCACTGATGTGAACTATGACATTGACAACCACATAACCTACTTTCTGTGTGTTTTGCATGCAAAAAAAAAACTCAACCGAAATGCATGTAGTTCGAACTGGCCCTAAGGCTACATGCACACAGGCGTTTTTTAAGCTCCTAAAAGCTGTTATCAGCATTTTTTTCTTCTCATTGAAGCTGGATAGTGTTATCCTATGTGTCCATGCACACTTTTTTAGGCTAGTAGCATTTTTCAGTGTTCAGGGGCAGAAAAAAAATAGTTTTTGTAGAGTTTTTGGGAGCATTTTTCCAGCAGAAAAAAACACTGACTGATCCTAAATGCTCCTAACAGTTTTTTTCTAGCTTTTTTTTCCCTACATGTACTGTAAAACCACTAATAAAATGCTAAACGCTTCTAAACACTACTAAAACGCTATTACCAGCATTTTTTTTATCCAGCATTTTTTGAGCTTAAAAAAAATGCTATTGTGCATGGACCCTAATGCAGGCCATACATGGTTTGAATACCGAACGATTTTTAGTCCGAAAATCAAAAACATTGTTCGCTCGGTAATTCGATGGTGCCATCGATGATTTTGAAAATCGTCCGACCAAGTCATAAAGTTCACCCCATATAATAGGTGAAACTTCTGTTCCTTCCAGGTCACGGCTCATGTGCATATTCTTTTCGGAAAAATGATCATACGATTTGACCATCATTGAGTCAAAAATCGGTCGCTTTTCACGAATTTTCCAACATGCAGGATCACAGAAAAGAGGAGGAACCACGAAAATCGTCCGGTGCCATTGACCCACTAATAGAGCGAAAATCGGCCGATTATTCTTAGGTCCAATTTTTGGACGAAAAATCAGTCGAATTTCGACCCATGTATGGCCGGCTTAAAACTAGACATTCACTGACTAAAATTCAGCTGGACCAGATTTTCTATCAATGTGTGGCTGTTTACGTTCAACAGAAGTTGATGGTTTAATCAACTTCCATTGAAGGGACATTTTGGAAAAGTTTCCAACAATTGGCAATGGCAGTCGCTGATCAGCGTTCTCTGACAGCGACGATTCTACTGTCAGAATTCAATGTCCTGGGGGGGGGGGTTATTCCTTCATCAACCTCATTTATGTGGATGGAGGAATCCATCACTTTTGTTTTGTTCAGCCAGTTTTCATTAGCACTGATCACTGTATTGGTGTCACTGGGGATGTCAGTGGCAGTTAGTTCCCCCCAGTGTCAGAATGCCCGCCACAGTCCCACTATAAGTCGCTGATCGCCGTCATTACTTGTATAAAAAAAAAAAAAAAATTCCAGTATATATACTGTTTTGCACTTATGATTTATATGTTGTCAGTTTATTATTAAGCAGAGTAATTATTTTGTTAAGTGTGGTGTTCACTTATTTTTAGTATATTTATTTATCACTTTGATTTTTATAATATATGCACTTTAGGCCCCTAAAGGAATTTATATGCACTTTATAGGATTATCACAGTGTGTGTTATTTCACAAAAGGGTTTTGTGTAAATTTAATAGCACGATTTTTTACCCCCCTGTTGGGAGGAGGTGTCACTGCACATTATATGGAAATGATTTATTGATTGTTTTTTTTTTGTAACATAGTATATGTAGCACATTTTGAAAATAGTTTTTATGGTTTAAGCACTTCACTATTTAAATTTTCTATTTGATTTAACTTGGTGGTTAAGAGTGGAGTGACAGCAGCTAAACAAATAGGTTTGGTTTCCATTGAGCGCAGAAGGATTTTCCTTTCATTTTGAGTATCTATACTGCCATTTGTAAACGCTATAACTTTCATGTAAACAAATTAATTTACACTTATTGGGATTTTTTTTTTTTAGCAAAGACATTTTGCCCGAAATTTATGAAGACATTTTATTTTTTTTTTTGGATATGTCTTATAGCAAAAAGTCAAAAATCTTGTTTTTTGTTTTCTAAATTGTCAGTATTTTTTTGTTTATAGTGCAAAATACACAGGTGATCAAATACCACCAAAAGAAAGGGCAAAAAATTTCATGTACAGCATTGCATGACCATGCAATTGTCAGTTAAAGTAATGCAGCGCTGTATACCAAAAAAATGGCCTGATCAGAAAGGGGGGTATATCCTCTGGAGGGCAAGTGGTTAAAGCCTTGGTGTCAGTGCCTTTCGGGCCTTTAAGGGGTTTCTGACAGTGGGGGGATATAGGGTCACTGTGGTCACATGATCAGAATAGCTTCCGATCGCATTGCGTGAGCTACCAGTAACTGTCCCGAGAGCGCACAGGGCATGTGCTCTCGGCATGTTTGATTACATCGTGTACACAAATATGAGGCCTCTTGGCATCAAGCCCTAGTCGCTGTGAGGCCTCATATTTGTGTACCTCCGGCACAAAGGATTTAAGGAAACTTAACAAAATGCTCTTTTTCTGTTTTTTTTTATAGCAGTGTTAGCTTAAAATAAATAATGTTACTGCACTTTAGGCCTCATGCACACAGGGTGTTTTTTGCAGCCATTTTTACCGGTTCACACCTAAGTGTTTTCTGCAGCATCTTGCATTTTTTGCAGAAATGCAGTACAGTCCATTTAACATGATTTCCTATGGGCCATGTTCACATCTGCATGTTTTCACCTGTGGCATTTTTTGGAAAGGGTTAGGGACTTCTTCTAACTCAAAAAGTTGCAATTTTGGTTCTATAGACTTCAATGGAAACGCTGCAGAAAAGCATGTATTGCATTTTTGCTACGTTTTGCCGCATTTTTTATGCATTTTAAATCTGCCTAGCAATAAGAAAAATAATAAAAAAAAAAAAAACACGCAAATACGCATCAAAAACACAGATGCATAATACAATGCAAAACACAATGCAGAAACGGCTCAAATGCAAACTGCATAGATGTGAACCTAGCTTTAGGGTATCAGGCATATTTTTTTACTGCTTTCAAATGCCCCTCCATGTTATTCTATGTTTCCATGTATGCATAGCCTTTTCATAGCTTTTAGAGGCAGGAAAAAAAACCCAGGGCCAGTGCGTCCAGGAGCATCAGCGTTTTGGCAGAAAAAAATGCATGTTAACACTGAGTGCATTCAGCGTTTGAGCGTTAATTCATTTCAATGGCCAGAATAAATTATTATACTGGCCAATTAAATGAATTAAGGCCCAAGTGCTTGAGGCCTGTAAATGCACCTAAACGCTTGTAAAAGCGGTAGACACTATGGGGTTTATTTACTAAAGCTGGAGAGTGCAAAATCAGACTCCCTTCTGCATAGAAACCAATCAGCTTCTAACCTCAGCTTGTTCAATGAAGCTTTGGCAATGAAACCTGGAAGCTGATTGGTTTCTATGCAGAAGTGAGTCTGACTTCGCACTCTCCAGCTTTAGTAAATAAACCCCTAAGCATCAGCATTTTTTCTGCCAAAACGATGTTTTGAAGAGAGGTGTTTTAAAAATGTCCTGTGTGCATGAGGCCTAAAAAGTGTGCATTTTATTCTGTAATTACACTAAAATGATGATTCTGCTACAAAACACTGTAAAGTTAATTGAAAATTAAATGAAGAGTTTTTTCAGTTTTGTGTTTTTTAAAATGTGAAACATATAAATATGTATTAACCATTTCAATACCGGGCAATTTTACACCTTCCTGCCCAGGCCATTTTTCAGGTTTTAGCGCTCTCACACTTTGAATGACAATTGCGCGGTCATACAACATTGTACCCAAACTAAAATTTTTATCATTTTCTTCACACAACTAGAGCTTTCTTTTGGTGGTATTTAATCACTGCTGGGGTTTTTATTTTTTGCTAAATTAACAAAAAAAGACTGAAAGTGTTGAAAAAAAACCACGTTTTTCTTTGTTTCTGTTATAAAAGTTTACAAATAAATAATTGTTCTTCATAAATTTAGGCCGAGATGTATTCTGCTACATGTCTTTGGTGAAAATAACCCAAATTAGGATGTATTATTTAGTTTGTAGGAAAGTTATAGAGTTCACAAACTATGGTATAGATCTGAAAATTGATCAATCCTGAAGTACTGACAGCCAATCTAATTTCTTGAGGTCCAAGAATGTCAGAACAGTACAGATATCCCCCAAATTACCCTTTTTGCAGAGTAGACAGTCCGACGTACTTCATAAGAGGAATGGCAAGTTTTTTGAAGTTGTATTTTTTTTGTCATAATTTTTCGGAAAATGAAAAAATTAAAAAAATTATTTTCACTATTTTTTTTTTACATACTGTCACCAGTGCAGTACAGCGTCATCATATAACTGGCATGGCGATGAACAGGGACACTGACTGGTGACAGTATGAAAAAAAAAATAAATATATATATTTTTTTTTTTTATTTTTTAATTATTTTTAATTTTT